GGAAGTAGGAGTAAAAAGACCATTTTAGCAAATAATTCAGGGAGAACTTGGGACCAGAAGCTCTTGTTATGTACAGAAAAGGATAACCTCAATGAACCCAAACTAATTTTGTATTAGCAGTTATGATAAATTTAATTTGTAATATTTTATACAAATTGTTTAGAGTGGTTCTTAAGAATTATGAGGGAAATGTCCTTACAGTACAAAAATTTTATAATTACTATACTTAAATTATTTGGGAATTGAGAAATGTATTTTTACATTGTTTATAGCCAATCATTTTTGTATTTTTCAATTTAAATCTTTTGAGTCTTTTTTTATCTCTCCTAATGTCAAATTTTATAGTCTTCTTTTTAAATAAATTCATTTAATTGAAATGTTTATACCTTTGTATTTGTTTACCACAGAAGCATGGTGGCTTGATAAAAGCTTTCTCACATCATTGCGGGAGTTGGCTTTACAACCTTGTTGAGTACCTATGTGGAATACTCGCTTGTGGGTCTCACCTGTGTAAAAGGTAGAGGCTAGGAAAGAAAGAAATCATTTCCTGTGCATGAGCTGTCTCTTTGGAAAGTTAGAATACACCCTCAAAACATTCTGAGGGTGCTCCATATGAAGAGTTATACAAGAATGTTGCAAGCTAAATGCCCTTAAGGACTTTCACAGAAGCACATTTGGACACTATATCACATTTCTGGCTGTGGCTAAAAATGCTAGAAACAAAATAAGCACATTCTGTTCAGTGATTTAGAAAGTGTGATGCCAAACTAGGGTGGTTCTGGTAAAGCTACAACTATTTGTACAGTTTGCAAAATTCCTGCCTCCAGTCTGCATGAGAATCACAAAGTCTTTATAGTTGTCAAGAACTCACTGGAATTTGTACATTCATCAAAGTTTTTTGTTTTTGTTTTGATAAAGAGCATTGTATTACTATGCAATAAGCTCCTGTGAGCAGAAAACTTAATTAAATGTGTCTTAAACAGTAAGGAGAATGTTGCAAGAAGTCTGGGTAGAGCACCAGGTTTGGTGGTGCCTGCTTATAATCCCAGCTACTCAGGAGGCTGAGTCAGGTTCACTCAAGCACAGGAGTTTGAGACCAGCCCAATAAATTCAGTGCTCAGCAATGTCATCACTGACCCCAAGTTTTTCTCGTATTTTCTGCCCATCCATGTTGCACTGTGAATTTTGTCCTCAGAGTTGAGGACAAAAGAGGTTTATGGGGTCGGGGATTTAGCTCAGTGGTTTCGTTGCCTGCTGCGCAAGCGCAAGGACCCAAGTATGATCCCCGGTATCAAAAAAAAAAAGAAGTTTATGGTATAGCAAGATGGTGGCAAGATCTCCAGGCTTTGTGTATGTGTGTGTGTGGACAACAGTGTCCAGAAAGAATTTTAAGCTGCTCCTTCTTGGTGAAACCCCTTGGTGGACTTTACATATTTGTCTTATTAAAAGATATTAAATGCCCTTTTCTGAATCACTGGCATGGATAATGAAAACACTGTAACTGGCTAAAGTAATCAAGATTCTCCCACCTTAGGTTGTGAATCTGCCTATCTTGGAAGCTTACAGCCTTGTACTACCTGAGCAAAGTTGGATCTGGTAGCAGAGAAAGGGCCATGAGGGGATCGACAGTATCTGTCAGAAGTATGTTACAGATTGTGCCCCAACTCGGAGAATTTAAATCAGTGATGCTCTGGAAGAAATCAGATCAGCTTAAAAAAGCATTTGTGGTCTTGACTATTCTGAAACAAAATAGAAAAACTAGCACTAGTTTTATTTTTAGACTATAACTCTACAAATACGTGTATCATAGAAAATTGACATAATAAAATGGCAAGTATTGTCTTGCTTGACATTTTTGTATTTGACTGTTTTTATTTTTGAAATGTTTCAAAAGGATAACACTTGTAGACACTACCCAGCTTTAATAGATTGTAACATTTTGCTGTACAGTATTTGCTTTAAGGTCCTTTGTTTAAAAAAGGAAAAGTTTTAAAATACCAAAACCTTTGGGCCAGCATGTGGCTCAGTAATAGAGCACTTGCCTAGCATGTCTGAGGCCCTGGGTTAAATCCCCAGTATCACAAACAAAACAAAACATAAAACCACCATCTCTAATCTTATTCCTCCTTTTTTGAAGATAAGCACTACATTAAATTTGGTAAGTATCTTGTCTGTTTTTGCTGTCTGTACTACGTGCATGTGCTCATACATGCATGCATGTGGGTGCATGCACAGATGGATGTACACATAAGCAGTGTGTAACATGATGTTTGTGCTACATGTATCCTTTCCTAGCCTGCTTTTTCAATTAATAGTGTTTTGAAATTTACACGTGTAACTGGTTCATTTCTTCTAAATGCTATTTGGTATTCTTTTGTATGATTCTATTACAACTTATCCTTTGTTGAAAGGAAAGTTTGAACATGGTTTTCAATTTTTTACCTTTTCACTGTTACATTGCACAAATATCTGAATGTCTTTTCTTGTGCACATTAGAGTTTGTATGTGGGTTAAGTAGTTAGAAGTAAAATTGTTGGGCTAAATATTTCGAGATGTTTCTCCACAGTAGTAGACCCAGTTGATGCTCCCTTCTGCAGGTTATGAAAGTTCTTATTTCTCCACTCTTGTTCTGCATTTGATATTAGCTCGACTTAACATTTTTGCTGTTCTGAGACTGAAATGATGTCTTGTTTTATCCCATATTTCCAGTAAAACCAATCATGTTTTCATTTGTATTTTGGCCCTTCTGTGAGTTGTTTATGTC